CACAGACAGCGCCAAAGATTTTAGCGTGGGTTTGAGGGAAAGTAAGTGTCTTAACAAAATCCTTGCTGGTATATGTCCAGAGGGTGTGGTAAAAAAGTCAAGATGGCGGCCAGAACCATATAAAAAACAATTTTTTTTGGCACTCTTAGGTTTTTGGATCATATGCTGCAGATGCTCCTGCCCCAAACACCTCATAAATCAGGCCAAAATGGTCAGCCCCACTCACTCTGGAAGCCCAATGCTTGATGTGCCACCCAAAATCTGGCACTCTCCTTGTGCCAATGGAAGTTGTGCATTCCCTGCAGTCCACGCCACCTCCTCCTGCCAAGGAGCCCAAATAGGGCCCCCAACCTCTCCTCCCAGGTCCCCCATCTGACTAAGCCACATTTGCATCCTTGCCTCAGGAATCCATATGGAGGCACCGTAGGCCACAGCCTCCACCTTGTTGAGCTTGTAGGTCTCCTGCAACTTCTTTGCGTAGCGCTGAGCAGCCCCGTCCTCATTGGCAAAGCTGCGGACCGTGGAAATGGCCTGGAAGGTCTCCATTGCGACGTCGTTGGCCTTGGCTAAGGATTCCTGGACCTGCATGGCCAAGTTCTGGAAGGTGAGAGAGAGGAAAGAGAAAGAGAAGTGGTAAGCAGGTATGTCAGATACGGGTTAGGCTAGAGGTGCTCAATCTGACCCCCCTCTCCAACTTTGTATACAGATTCTATTGCCCCTGTACAAATTAAACTCTGGAGGCAACTCTGGATGTGACCAAAGGGGAAAATTATTACAACCATATTAATTGCAGTTAAATAAGATAAAGTCCCCCTTAAGTTGGGTTCAACTCCTGGTGGCTACATGAACAAGTCCATATTGTTCGCTTGGCAACAATAAAACCTGTATAATTCTCCTTAAATTAAATCATCCTAAGGTTATTTCCTGGATGCCCACTTTTGGGATGGAATCTCTGGCATATTTTTTTATTCATCATATTTATAGAGCCACCCATCTCACAAAATGTGACTCTGACCACACCTGTTCCTTGACTCCCCCAAAAGTGCTGCATTTCTGAGTTAGATGAAATGCCAAAATTGATTTTCCATCTTTAGAGATTCTGATTTCATTCTTTGATCATGAGTCACAGCTGGATTGTCCTCAATGGAAAACACATTTCTGCATACATTCAGAGCAATAAAAAAAAAAAGACTCCTCAACAGGGATCTTTCCCTACTTTGGTGCCCACCAGATGCATCAGGGTTTTCATCCCCAGAAAAGGCTGATCTGGTTGGTAGATAAGAACATGCAGCACTCCTCAGTGGCCTCTGGGGAACTGGGATTTGGGCCTAATCCACCACAGAACCCAAGAGTTTGGTTGGAAGGAAACTTTGAACCGTCCCGCCCTTTGGTCACCTGGTAGAACTTCCCTGAGAGCTTTGGCAACAGCAGAATGAAGGGCAGGGCCATGGTGACAAAGAGGGCCAAGGGCACCGAGAGCCACAGCATCATGGTGTAGAGGAAGAGGCCCCGGAGCAGGTACCACAACAGAAGGTTCAGTTCCCTCGAGAGGCCCTCACTCATGGCATCAATGTCGGACGAGACACGGGAAGTGATCTCACCTGGGAGGGAGGATGTCAATGAGAACAAGCCTATTTGAAATCATGTCAATTGGGGGAGGTGCACACTAGCTGTGCTCTTTGCCTTCCCTGTTCCTTTGGTAACCATCCGTGGAATGGGAACTACAGGACTGGCTGCCCCATCTCCGAGGCCAACCTTGAGGATGGAGAGGTCAATCGACCCTCGGTACTGAAAGCAGCGTTCCCAACCTTGTGCCCTCTGCACGGCTGGACTCGCACAACACACACACACAGAGGTGACTACAGGGAGAGATCAAGGGGGGACAAATGAGGAAACAAATATTGTGCCATTATGATGCAAGTGCCACCCTTTTGTACATGTGTCAGGATACTACACGTGCATACAGAAGAATGGAACCTGCATGGCAACTGCAATACTCATAGCGCCGTTTTGACAGAAGCATCAGATCCCGGGGATGCCTCTGCACTCAGCAAGTCAATGAAAGACCTCGCACACGCATTCATACAACATGCTAAGCTTAGTTAGTTTTAACCTTGACTGGGGTCTTGTTTGTGGCCCCAGCCATGCTCGCAGAACAGCGCAGAGATCAAAATGCTTCCGGAATGGCTGGAACCACCCATTTCTAAACAACCATTTCAAATTTGAAACAGCTGGAATCCCTAGGCCTGATCCAATGAAATCTTCCTTAAACTCCTTGCTTCTCCTAACTCCCCACCCTCCCAAATCCCACCCCCTGCCTCTCAGTGCAGAGGATAACACTTGAATTTTGAGAGTACTACAAATCTCCAGTTAGCCTACAGGTTCCTGTATCCACTGCACCCCCCCCCCCCAATCTTTTTTT